GGAAGGCTTTCCATTAATTTATGACAGTTTGAGTGCAGGCTTTTGTTCAAGGAGAGGTACCTGGGTCTCTTCTGTAGGAGTTAGGGAGGGTCAGGTTCATGTAGCAAAGTATGCCTATGCTCAAGCAGAATTTGTGGGTGTCTTTGGAAGGAGAAGCTCCTGAAAGCACAGAAGGAAAACTCAGAGACTGGTCTGAAAGTAGGAGCTTCTAATTTCTGAAAGTATCCTGACACCAAAAAAACTAGGAAGTTGGGCCTTTCTGAATTTAATATCCTGTCTGCCGGTGAATAGTTTACTAGTGAAAAGCTTGTGTTGGTGCCTTTAAGGGCATTTCCTCCTGATGCAGCTGTGATTTCTCCACAAATACCTTCTGAGAAAGTAATCTCGAGGACGAGGTGAAAGAAAAGGAATGGCCAGCTCTCAGGTAAGCCTAGTGTCCCAGGTCAGAGGCTGTGTCATCTTTTTCTCCTAAAATTCCATGCATTTAAAAATTGCAAATGTTGGTTTCTGTAACTTCTGATGTTTCCGCTTCATGTTTTCACTTAAGTATTTAAACCTTCTCAGAAATGGTACTCAAGGTTAAATCTTTAGAACACTTCTCTCTTATAACCCAGAGTCTTCTCTCCCTTCTCTCCATCCTGGCTTCCAGCAGGGCATCAACAATTGTCACTTTGAATCAAAGTCCAGCGAGTTTTGAAAATATTTCCTTATGACAGATCCACAGTGGAACGCACGGAGTCCAGATTCCTATTGCTGATGGTGTCTGGTCCTGGGATTTCAGTCAAGGAGAACACTTTCCCCTTAGGTTCCCCCTTCAGTACCTTTCTGTAGACCAGGATTAAGAAAACACAACACAAGGCCTCTAATATCTTATGAATCCTCTTTAGCATTTGGAAGTCCTGACATAGACCTGTCTTCTGTCTTTACCTCCCCCGACTGCAAACTGTATACGTGATACAACCCCAGCGTGCCTCTTGTTGACCACAGATCCTCTCCTTGTGCTATAATAAAACCACCTTTAAAAAAGTTTTTTTAACGTTTTTAGTTTATTTTTTTTACAAATAGTTTATTGTCAAGTTGGTTTCCATATAACACCCAGTGCTCATCCCCACAAGTGCCCCTCTCCGTGCCCATCCCCCCCTCCCCCCACATCCATCAGTCCTCAGTTTGTTCTCAGCATTCAAGTCTCTCATGGTTTGCCTCTCTCCCTCTCCCCCACTATTTTCCCCCTTCTTCTCCCCCACGATCCTCCGTTAAGTTCCTCCCAATCCTCCAATACGTGTAAACATATGGTATCTGTCCTTCTCTGCCTGACTTATTTCACTCAGCATAACACCCTCAAGGTCCATCCACGTTGCTACACATGGCCAGATTTCATTGTTTCTCATTGCCATGTAGTATTCCATGGTATAGATAAGCCACATCTTCTTGATCCATTCGTCCGTTGATGGACACTTAGTTTCTTTCCATGTTTTGGCTATTGTGGAGAGTGCTGCTATGAACATTGGGGTACATGTGCTCCTATGCATCAGCATTTCTGTATCCCTTGGGTAAATTCCTAGCAGTGCTATTGCTGGGTCCTAGGGGAGTTCTATTGTTAATTTTTTGAGGAGCCTTCAAACTGTTTTCCAGAGGGGCTGTACCAGTTTACATTCCCACCAACAGTGTAGGAGGGTGCCCGTTTCTCCACATCCTCGCCAGCATCTAGAGTTCTCTGATTTGCTCATTTTAGCCACTCTGACTGGCGTGAGGTGGTATCTCAGTGTGGTTTTGATTTGTATTTCCCTGATGAGGAGGGATGCTGAGCATCGTTTCATGTGTCTGTTGGCCATCTGGATGTCCTCTTTGGAGAAGTTAATTTATTTTTGAGACAGAGAGAGACAGAGCATGAGCGGCGGGGGTGGGGGGGGAGGTGGAGAGAAGGAGACACTGAATCAGAAATAGGCTCCAGGCTCTGAGCTGTCAGCACAGAGCCCGATGTGGGGCTCGAACCCACGAACCGTGAGATCATGACCTGAGCCAAAGCTGGACGCTTAACCAACTTAGCCACCCAGGCGCCCCAGAAACCACCTTTTTGTACCAAAAAATAAATGCAAAAAGACACAGGATGGGTATGAGGCCCAGAATAACTTGGAAGGTTCTCAGAAAAAGGAGGGCAGTCTTGCTCTTTAAAATGTGAAAACTACATGGCAATGAGAAAGAATGAAATCTGGCCATGTGTAGCAACATGGATGGACCTTGAGGGTGTTATGCTGAGCGAAATAAGTCAGGCAGAGAAGGACAAATATCATATGTTTGCACGTATAGGAGGATTAGGAGGAACTTAACAGAGGACCATGGGGGAGAAGAAGGGGGGAAATGGTGGGGGAAAGGGAGTGAGGCAAACCATGAGAGACTCTTGAATGCTGAGAACAAACTGAGGGCCGATGGGGGTGGGGGAGAGGGGAAGGGAGGTTATGGGCATGGAGGGGGACACTTGTGGGGATGAGCATTGGGTGTTATATGGAAACCAACTTGACAATAGACTATTAAAAATAATAAAAATATTGGGGCGCCTGGGTGGCTTAGTCGGTTGAGCGTCCGACTTTCGCTTAGGTCATGATCTCGCGGTTCGTGGGTTCGAGCCCCGCGTCGGGCTCTGTGCTGGCTGCCAGCTCAGAGCCTGGAGCCTGTTTCAGTCTGTGACTCCCTCTCTCTCTGACCCTCCCCTGCTCACACTGTCTCTCTCTCTCCTATAAATAAATAAAACATTTAAAAAATTTAAAAAAAAATAATAAAAATATAAAATGTGAAAGTGATACTCTATTTAATATACTAGATATTACAGGACGTGGAAATAAGCATCTAAATGTGATGTTACTCCCATTCTGTGGGGGCTACCAAATATGGGTCGATGATCCTGTGAAAGCCGAGGGCATGAGCAGTGAAAACAATTCACCTGTGGCAGAATAAAGTGATAGATTTATGACTATACTTCAAGCGAGTAACAGGACAGCAGAGGAGAGGCTGTCTGCCATGAGGCAGTGAGTTGGGGCTGTTTTTAAAGGGGAAGATGAAGATGTATGGTGACTTAGGAATTTGCCCTTATTTGGTCATTCTGCCTGGTTGTAAGTAGCCCTTTGTTAGGGCCTATAGATATTTTGAGGCAGGTCACTTGCTGGGCTCCTCTGTATTCAGCCAAGTGGGCCCAAAGGACCTCTACATTCCATTGCTCAAGCCTGTTTGCCTCAAAGCAGCCTCTACTTAAAGTATATGTAATTGAATTTTGAATAAATCCACTGTATTCTCATAATTAGATTGATAATCTGATTTACTGTTTGGGGGTCAGGAGAACACAACAGTGATTATATGTCTTTTGGTGTGTCTTAGGCACTGATAGCAATTTGTTTCATGACAGCTGGTGTTCATTTCTTTTATTGACTTGGTGCTCTCTGCCAGATTTCTGCTCTATAACGTTCATATTTTCCCTCCTATCATTATCAAGGATCTTACATTTCCCGAACGATGTGCAGAACCCTGGAAACTTCTTTCTTCCGAGTTTCTCTTTGCTTGTAATTTCTGATGAGAATGAAGGCAGAAGAAATTTCATTACAACTTGCAGCCCATTGATAAAGGAATTCCATACCCTGCCTGTCTCAAGTATCTAATAAAAAATAAACATTAAGTCACGAAAGCAGCTATGAGTTCCTAGAGGAAGGGCATATTCTGCATGTCTCAGGTTTCTATCAGTGGGCTGCAAAGTGTAAGAAAATTTTATCTAAGCTACATGTCTCTTGACTTTATAATCCTCATCATTTCCCCCCTTGAATGACTTTGACCCTTAAATTTTTAAGGTTGTTAAAGATGGAAGGACTCATCTTCTGTACCTTCTTCATGCTGATAGGGGCATAAAGATGTCCCTACCTATGAGTCAAGGTAGTTCAGTTGAGAATTTACTAGGAGTTAGGAAAGGCTAAGGCAGCTGTCTTTAGAATTGATAACATATGGGACTTTCCTGGAGTAGAAAGAATCACCTGTCCCGTTGAAGTTATGGGAGTGAAAGCGTGTTATCACCAGATGCAGAGACAAGACAGAAAACAGCAAACATGATTAGAATAACAACAATAACAAAAAAAGCCCACGTAAGTTTTTCCTTTACTCCATACTCAGGTCACAGAAATGCCCTTCTATTTACTTCTTTATATTTTCAGAAAATGAAAACAATCACATAACTGACATATTTGAGTGTCTTAAGTCCTCAAATATTAAAGAGTCATAGATAGAAAGTATAGAAGCTGGGGTTGTCACACAAAGGAAACTTGATTTGTAGCCAATAAGGAGATCAGAGGGAATAACTTACAAGGTAGAGACTTAAAGACCAAGAGGGAAAGATTTCCTTTTATTTAGGATTCAGGTGGATAATTAGGAAGTGGTGTCTTGGCATGTTATATAGGATGAGGGATAAGATTGTAAACGTGCCTTAAGAAAAACACTTCTGGGAGCCCCTGGGTGGCTCAGTCAGTTAAGTGTCTGACTATTGATTTCAGCTCAGGTCATGATCTCATGATTCATGAGTTCGAGTCCCACATCAGGCTCCATGCTGACAGCATAGTACCTGCTTTGGATTCTCGATCTCTCTCTCTCTCTCTCTGCCCCCCTCCTCTCTCTCTCTCAAAATAAATAAATAAACTAAAAAAAAAGAAAACACTTCAATACATACTTTGTATGTTAGGTGAGGTTTGTGCTCCTCCTTGGGTGGAGATTTTGATATTACAAGGAGGTCAAGGTAACTTTCTTACTCCATGGTTACTCCATAGTCCATCAGCTTGGGTACAAGTGGAGGGTAAGTTCAAACTGGGCCTCCCCAAGCTCTTCGTTGTAGTCATTACATTTTGTTGGTTCCTGTTTCCAGCACAGGATGCTATGCCTATGGAGTATTTTGCCAGCAGTAGAAGATAAGGTATAAAAAAGAGGTTAAATAAAATGAGGGATTAAGATTGGTAGTCACAAGCAGGTAAGCCATGAAGGTCAGGTCGTAGGGTCTAGCTGGTGACATTAACTCTCTCTTTCATCATAGGTATCATTATGAATGCTGCCTTTGGCCACTGGATAACTGGTATTTGTTGCAGGGACTGCTGACATTCAGGGATGTGGCCATAGAATTCTCTCAGGAAGAATGGGGATGCCTGAACCACAGTCAGCGGGAACTGTACAGAGATGTGATGTTAGAGACCTATGGACACCTCCTCTTCTTGGGTGAGGACAATTCCTTCCAGAGCTCTCAAGCCGTGGTCGAGGTTTTGTTCCTTCTTTTGAAGACCATCTCTTACTCTTGCTCATTGCACAACTGGGATTCAGATCCCTGCAGTAGGGATAGCATTAGGTGTTTGTAGATGTAGAGAAATATCTTCATGATGTTTCCTTAGCTTTAGCTTCTCCTTCCTTAAGATACCATTGTCATTTATGTGGATTAGTGGCAATTCTAAACAATGAATGACATCAAATGGTACCGCCCACATCTTAGCCACCAATTTCTACTCCTTATTGCATTGGTAAGATTTGGAAGGAGAGATCATGATGTGAAAATTTGAAGCTCCTCCTGCATGTTGTAAAGGGGCTGTTCCTTGGGCAATTGCATTTGGGAAATCATTTTCTAAACTTCTTTCATGTCCTCGATTGTCTACTCAGCACAATCATGGATTGAAAATGAGAATCTGCAGTATTACTCATTTTTCTTTTGTTAATAAATAGGTCTCATTGTTGGGAAGCCAGACCTGGTCATCTTTTTGGAGCAAGAGAAAGACCTGTGGGATGTGAAGAGAAAGGACACCTTCCCAGGTAGGTGGGAAGGAAGCAGATGACAGAGGTGAGGTCCAAATGTGAATGAGGAAGACAGACCCTAAAATTTGGTCAGATTGCTCTCCGTGAATGGAAATTAGTTTGAGAAACCTAGTTTTCTCCCTCTCACAGAGGAATATCTGCTACCCAATACTATCATGCTCTTACATTCTCTAAAGATTCCCCTTCTGCTCCAGTGAATGTCCATCACATCCTCAGTGGTCAGGTGACTCTCTTTGCTGTGTGAGGACCTTCATAATCTGAGAGCTTCTCCATTGCTTTGAGGGTTCCAGAGGAAATCTCTGTATTTCTGAGGGATTCTATGCTAAGTCATTTTAGAATTTTATCTTGTCTCCTGTGAGAAGTGTTTCAGGGTAGGGGCGCCTGGGTGGCTTAGTCGGTTGAGCGTCCGACTTTCGCTTAGGTCATGATCTCGCGTTCGTGGGTTCGAGCCCCGCGTCGGGCTCTGTGCTGACTGCCAGCCCAGAGCCTGGAGCCTGTTTCAGTCTGTGACTCCCTCTCTCTCTGACCCTCCCCTGCTCACGCTGTCTCTCTCTCTCTCTCCTAGAAATAAATAAAACATTAAAAAAAAAAAAAAAGAAGTGTTTCAGGGTAGTGGTGGGAATATTGGGGTTTGGTGCACAACTCCCGGGAACACTGGGGACAGAGATCACTTGATTTCTGGTTTATGCTTTCCAATGTTACAGAGGCTTTTATCTTAGTTGTATAAAATTGAGGCACAGTAATTTTATCAGGTAACAGAGCACCTCCCTAATAAGAGAAAAATGAAAACTTTATTTCACATCAAAAGTTCATTTCTCTTTGCATTAACTAAAATTTGAAATTTCCACTCTATGTGTCCCATTCCTCAATAGTTAAGTCATATAAGGTATCTATGAGTATCCTAGCATTCTTAGATATCAGTGCCATAAGGGAGGTAGAACATTTAGAAGTTAGAACTCACAGCCTCCGATAAAGTCTCAATGGTTGTCTTAGTAATTGCATCATTTTCTAATTTTGCCTTGTATAATACAAAGTTCTATGACTTTTTCTACATGGGTTTTCACTTTCTAATTGTATAAGAGTTGTATCTGAGATTCATCTCTCATTGTTTTAGATCAAAAGTTCTATGTGACATGATTATGTGCTTTATTAGAAGTGAGGTAGAGGAATGCCTGGGCAGCTCAGTCATTTTAGCATTGGACTTTGGCTCAGTTCATGATCTCATGGTTCATGAGTTTGAGCCCTGCATTGGACTGTCCGCTGTCGGTGTGGAGCCTGCATTTGATCCTCTGTCCACTCTCTCTCTGCCCCTCCCCCACTTGCATAACATTCTCTCTCTCAAAAATAAACATTTAAAAAAGGAAATAAGGAAGTGAGGTAGATAATTAGTAAAATTCCATATATATATAATATTTATATATATATAAATTACATTTATGAACAATCCTTTTATACATGTATGGAATTTTTTATATATAATGGATTTATATATAATTTATATATATAAATCCCTTTGGAATTATATATATATAATATATATAATAAATATAATAAAAATATTTTTATTTATATATATAAATCCTTATGGAATTTTATATATATACATATATAAAAGGATTGTTCATAAATGTAATTTTACTTCAGGAAGAATTCATCATGAGATTTTTTTTTTTTTGCTTTCCTCAGAATGTATCTGAATTTCATCCCAAATATTTATTTTTTTTATAAAGTGATTGTTAGTATATTTTGCAACTTTGATGGTGTTTGCTTATTTAGAAATGAAAGGTTTTGGTCTGTCAGCTTGGTACTAAAGAATGGATTATGCCCTTACACTCTGTGTAAGAGGAGGAATATATTAATAGAATTATACATTTTTAATGTCTTTTAAGTGTGTATTTGTAAAAGTTTTTATTAGAGTATTTTATGGTTGATTTTAATGAATATTTTTCCTATTTTGCTGTCAATGAAGACATGCCAATAATTCAAATGCTCCTTTTTCATGGGTGCACAGTCATAGTTGAAAGTTGTAGTTACATAGTAGGTTTCCTTTTAAAGGATTAACCTGTTTCTTTTATGTAGACTGTTTTCAGTTAAATGTTGTTTTATTCTGGTTTTGCATTCTCTAGTAATGTGATTTTTTTTGATTGGGACTTTTTACACCTTAGTTGTAGTTTCCTTTTTAACTGTGTATTTTGTTATATGATGACAATGTTCATCTAGTACATTTTAGGACATTGTGAGTTTATGTCAAATATGAATCAACCATGGTCTTTACCAGTAAAATTATGTATGTATTTCTTTGTAAAAATATGACTCATAAACACTTTGGGACTCATCTTGTTTATTTCTTTCCTTGGTTAATGGTCAGTGAACGTTTTATGTCTAGGTGAGTTGTCATATGAATAGACAATTTTTTCATCATGTATTTATTGGTGACTTTATATTGTCCTTTCACGAAAGAATCACTTTTTTGAATTGAAAGTAATTTTTAAACATTCTACACCTCCAGGGTGCCTGGGTGACTCAATCAGCTAAGTTTCCTACTCTAGATTTCAGTTCAGGTCATGAACTCAGGGTCACGAAATTGAGCCCTGTGTCAGGATCCCGGCTGAGTATAGAACTTCCTAGGGATTATCTCTCCCTCACCCCCACCCCTGCTTGCTCACTCGCTTGTTCTCAATAAATCAATCAATCAACCAATCAATCAACCAATCTATACCTCTGTATCAAGTTTAGATATTTTATCCTTAATGTGGTGTTATACCCATGACATTATTTGGTACCATTCTCATTCACTTGTGCGTCTTCTCTTCCTGTTTTTTTTTTTAATGTTTATTTTTGAGAATGAGTGAGAGCAAGAAAGAGAGTGAGCAGCGAAGAGGCAGAAAGAGAAGGAGACACAAAATCTGAGGCAGGCTCCAAGCTCTGAGCTGTCAGCACAGAGCCTGATGAGGGGCTTAAACTCAGCAACTGCAAGATCATGACCTGAGCCGATGTCAGACACTTAACTGACTGAGCAACCCAGGTGCCTGGCAATGTGTGTCTTCTGTAGTATTTTCATTGTGGTTTACACAGAGATTACTTAAAACATCTTAAAGATATAAAAACCCATTTTAAACTGATATTCTCAAATGCATACAAAATTATTCTACTTATCAGTTCCACTCCTGCACCCACATTAATTTACTGGTATCACAAATACTGTCTTTTATGTTTTGTACCTTGTTACTTAGATTTAAGATTATATTCTTGGTGAAAAAATTGTAGCAGAAATTAAAACGACTTATGCTACCTCATTACAAGACTACAGGTTTCTATACTTGTGTAAATTTTATATTTAGCAGTGAGTTTTATGTTCTCATGTGGTTTCAGTTACTGTTTAGAATCCAATTATTTCAACCAGAAGGACCTCCTTTAATATTTCTTGTACGTGAGGTCTACTTGTAAATGTAGAGGGGTTTTTACTTGGGAAAGTCTCTATTTCTACATTCATGGAAAACAGTTTTTGCCAGGTAGGGTATTCTTAGTGGATATGTTTTGAACTTTCAATATTTGAATACATTGACCCGTGCATTTCTTCCCATAATGTCTACTGAAAACCCCATTACTAATCTTAAAGAAGCTCTCTTGGATGAGATGAGTTGCTTTTGCCATGCTGGTTCAAATTTCTCTTCTCACCTGTGAGTTTTGATGGATTAATTATAAGGTGTCACTGTGTTCACATCTTGACATTTATCCTACTGAGAATTGACTGAGCTTGTTGCATTTGTCTATTCTTTCCACTTACAAGACTTTAATTATTCATGTCAATGCTCTGCTACCTCTCCCTCTCCCCTCCTCAATGGTTCCCATAATGTACATATTAAATCACTTGTTGGTGTCCCATGAATCCCTAGACTGTCCTTTTCCACATTTTCCATTGGGATCTAATTTAACACAAGAGTACTTTAGGTTGTCTGACTTTTTCCTCTGGTTGATCAAGTCTGTTGTTGACCCTTTAGTGTATTTTTAAACTCAGTAATTGTATTCTTTATCTCCCAATTTCCTGTTCATTGTTTGTAGCCAATAAAGAGACCAGAGGGAATGACTTACAAAGGAGATATTTAAAGACCAATGGACAAAGATTTCCTTTTATTTAGGATTCAGGTGGATACTTAGGAAGTGGTGTCTTGGCATCTTATATAGAATCAGGGATAAGATTGTAAAAGTACCTTAAGAAAACACTTCTAGGAGCAGCTGGGTGGCTCAGTCAGTTAAGCATCTGACTCTTGATTTCAGCTCAGGGCATGATCTCATAATGCATGAGTTAGTGCCCCACATTGGGCTCCAGGCTGACAGTGTAGTGCCTGCTTTGGATTGTCTCTATCTCTCTCTCTTTGTCTCTCTCTCTCTCTTTCTCCCTTTTCCCCCACTCTCTCTCTCAAAATAAATAAATAAATAAACTTAAAAAAAGAAAAAAGAAAAAAAGAACGAAAACTCTTCTATACATACTTTGTATGTTATGTGAGGTTTGTGCTCCTCCTTGGGTGGAGATTTGGATCCTTGATCCTTGAAGATACTGGGGTTTCCTATGCTCAGGGTCTCACAAACACACTCTATGTGGAGCATCTACCTGTAGGAGTGGGGGAGGGGGAGCGGCGCTGGCAAGTGATATTAGAGTGATCAAGAAGTTTATGGTGTTTGCTGTGTCATGAACCATAAGATCCTTGGATGTTGATCTAGGAGTCTCCTGTCTTCAGCCAGGATTGGAAAATTGTTACAAACCAATATTACATTATGGAATATGTGGAATTATGGAATTTTTATAGTTCTCAAGATTCTCCATGAATTTTATCAAAACAAAGTAGATATTCATGGGTCATTTTCTCCTCTTGTTTGTGCATTTGTTTTGTTATTTATTTGTACATATATGTGATATACTATTATATTCTTTCTTTGATTTATGTCACATAGCATAATACTTTCTAGGTCTATCTATGTTGTCACAAATGGCAAGAAAGGACAACAAAAGTAGAAATAC